GTCGACACTGCAAACTTGCAGTGTAGGAAAAGCAGGAAGCTTCAAGTTCAGGTATCAGCATGTTTGTTTGTTTATTATATTCTTATAAACATCTTATTGAGAAAAGCAATGCAACAAGGTATTAGAAGAAAGCAACATGGTGGTGCCACTAGGTGCGCGCAGGCGTCGAGGAACACATGGTGGCTGCAACACACAGGGGACTCCAGGTTTCGTCGCGGCACCAAGGTCAGTGATCATTATACCATAATAGAGCATACCAACAAGTGCAATTCCAACTAGCACAAGATGAGCTTGGGAAGACCAAGTAATATAGCAAGGATGTGGATATGAAGTCAAGTAGGCATAAGACAGTCATCCACCTAGAGGGGTTAGTAAAGCAACTTGAAGAAAATGAAGCTCAAGTAATAGCATAAAGGGCCTCATTGGATAGGTTTGGGCAGCAAGGTAGGAAGATCAACATGTATGCTGGTTCTTTAGATTTATGCACATGCATCAACCATTACAAGCATAATCAAAACTCTATAATCTAGATGCACAGGAAGCATTTTTAAAACATCATACCAACATGACTATTATATCAGGTAATTGTTTTGATTAACATGAACAACAAGTTTGCAGGACATCTCAGGTGTATCAAGTTAATATTACTAAATTCATGAGCCAACATTACCAAGCATACAAGCCAATTTTAGTTAACAAAGATAAATTCTAAGCATAGGCATTTTCTGGACTGCAGCATAACTTCTACTTAATTTAACCATAACTGGAGTTCTAAGTATGCAAACGAGGTGTTCTCAGACTTTTTCGAAAGCATATGAAGTTGTCTACAACTTTTTTATTATTTCCCAGAGCTAATTCAAAGGTTATCAAGATCATACATTACAAAGAAGCATTTCTGTCCAGACTTGGGCATAATCTGACATTAAACTTTAAACAGCTATATTTGAAGTTTTAGACATCAAGCAAACATGATTCTTAACCTTTTAGAAAACTTGGTAAAAGCACTACAACTCTTTTATTGTCACCAAGAGGTGATCCTATAGTTATCATGGTAAAAAAGACATAACATTGCAGCACTGTCCAGAACACAGACAAAGCCTAATAGGGTATTTGTAATATCTATAACTCTCAGACATGTTGTTATAAAATCATGAAATTTTTGGACAAGCTAGATAAAAAAGTTATCTACAACTTTTATATTTACCCCATCTACGGAAAACATCATTTTCATCATGATATTATCAACATAACAGAAATTGCACAGCAAACAGACAACACCTAACAGTTTCTAGGTAACAAGGCTTAGGGAGAATGCAATATGTGATGCATAACCAAAAATGTATGCAACGAGATGCACATGTATGAAATATGGATGCACAACTACATGTCATCCTCACTCAACTACTTTTCACAAAGGATCCTCACTCAACTACTTTTCACAAAGGGATCCATGGTAAAACTTGGTAAGCAGTGAGACACCACTCAAGTGCAAACACCAATTGCATACGAACAAGGGTTCTCCAAAATTTCAGCAAGCTAGCACATGCATATATTGCAGGAATTTGAATTCATATATTACCACTTGCACCAAATAAGCACGCACAAGTGGCACCCATACGATTAACGCTGCATGAACACTGTTCCATACTTTGTTGCCAATGTATTCACTTCCTATACATGGTACTAGCAGCATATATGTATACAAAAACAAATATGGCTTGCATCTAATAAGTAAAGATGGATATGCATACGTGATATATAGCAGGTCATCATTTCATACATGTATGTGTGAGGTTAAGCATGTTAATAGGTTTAGCATGGACAACAAGACATAGTTTATGTATGACAATTAAGATGTGGTATATATTAAAGAGACGGAGCATGTAACTACTTTACAATTTTTAAGTAAAGCAATGTATTGTAAGTATGAACATATTAAATAGTATAGCAATGCAGCAGGACATGCATATATGTATAACAAGTAAAACAAAGCATATACATGGTGTAGAGCATGTTATTATGGATTCACAATTTTAAACTGGTCATGATATGTAAAATTAAGCATGTTAGGAAGTACCATAAGGGTAGCAAGACATGAGTATATGTGAACCAACGCAAGTAAGAGCTTATATACTAAACCATGGCAATGAACATTTAGAGTGCTTGCTGAAATCTCATATTATGAACACCCATATGCAATCCCAAGTCACACACACGAATCTGAAATTTTATAAAACATAGGGCTATAAACATTTTCTAGTTATCTCTCATTCTCAGTTGGTTCTAACTATCTTCAACTCTCAAACCTAGGTGACTATACCTAATCTTTGCTCCTAGTTGACCCATTTCATTCCCGATGATAGACAAGACAAGTTGAAGAATCACTTAACAAGATTAATTAAGCACAAGGGAAGAGGGAATCTAGTAGCTAAATTATAACTCCAATAGGATTTTAGGTGAAATAGTTCATATTTTTAGTTGCCCACCCAACTAGCTAACTACATAGGACCTCATCTTTTAGTTAAATTTCTGATGCTTATGTATTCACATGTTGTTCCTTGACCGCATGGCTAGAATGTATGACAGACAGCCATATGCTCTAATACCCAGTTGTGAGGGTCCCGTCGTGTTAATTCACCTAAATCGAGTATCATCCACTTGACTGACCCAATTTAAGCAAACCAACATCGGTGACTCCCCAGGAGCGCTCCTTGGCAACTCCTCTTCAGGATCAGGTTGAGTATCATACCACAATAGCCTCCACAACTCAAGATTACATCTCATCATCGGAGCACATAATAATTCACACTACTAAATTTTGACCCTGTTGCACCGGTCAATTTTTGATGTTATAGGTCTAAAATAGATGCAATAGTTCGGTTTCGCATCAATTTCTCGTTTGATGCCAGCCGATGCAAGTGGTCTTGATGCAATAGCCTTTCGCATCGGTTACTTGTGGTTGATGCGAGAAGCAGCTATTACATCGTCCATCCGTTGTCTCTTGCATCAAAATTGAGAGATGCAATAGCTTATTGCATCCAAATCATGTTGATGCAATACATCTATTGCAACGGCTATCGTTCGATGCAATAGACTATATTGCATTCATATTAGGTTCGATGCTATATAATCTATTGCATCACCATTTTGATTCGATGCAAGAGGTTCTATTACATCATCATTTTGGTTCGATGCAATAGGAACTATTGCATCTATTACATCATCATTTTGGTTCAATGCAATAGGAACTATTGCATCGATGTTATGTTCGATGCAATTCGAACTATTGCATCGACATGAGGTTAGATGTAATACAAACTATCACATCGACATGAGCTTGAATGCAATACAAACTATTGCATCGACATGAGATTTGAAGGGCAACCAATTATTGCATCAAATTCATTGCACAGAAATTCATAAAATTACAAAATTCAATGGCACAAAAAGGCAATCATATTAATAACTTGGATCATAAGCATTCAATAGTTTGTACAATGTAAGGAAGTCAAATGCCTTCCTATTTTCAAATAGGTAATTGCAAAGTTGAACTGCATTACAAACCACTAACTTATGCTACAAATAGGCAATCATAAACAAAAATACATGTCTCTTAGCACAGATCAACATGACATCTTTCTCGTTGCACAATATTTAATTCATTTCAGCTTGCCAAGACTCCCTCAAGGTTGATCTTCCTGAAAAAGTCAAAATGACATGCATTAGTAATATACTAGTATAATGCCCGTGCTAACGCTACGGTGACATTTGATAATACAAATCACACAACAAAAAATGGTTTACCTACACACTACTTAGTTTCTAAAGATCTTGATCCAAAATTACACAGGACACCCACCTCTTTGCCAAAGAGAGCTTTATTATCACGGATTCAACGATATCACTCTTGACACAAAATTGAAATCAATACTCAGTATTTGACATGACATATTGGCCAAACATGCACCTTCATGCACAACTTTAATGCTGTTCAGTAAGGGGTTCCAGATGTCTTGCAAGCAACTGTGTAAAAAAACCGGAAAGCCTTTCAGCTTTGACAGAAGCACATGACCTAATAAGAACAAGTGAGCAGAGACCATAAACCTTCAGAATCTCTCGACGGTCAAAATCGACCTAACCACATAAAAACACCTCTCGACGTGGGGCTTCCCACATTTCTGACGGCACATGAATAAGTCGCGCCTTGGCTGCTACACCCTTAAGCACTGAAAGCTTCGTAGTAATGTGCCATGAAGCTATCGATAATATGCGAAGATCATCACACGGCATGTGCATTGAGTGCAGCCCTCAGTTCATTTATCTCGCTTAATGTGATCATCTTGCCATCGAACATAGTCCATGTCAAATGCCAAAGCACCTAGAAATATGGATAACAGCTTAGTTCAGGATACTTTGTCAGTGTGATCTAAACATTTGACACAAAAAAAACAGTAAATTACCATTTTCACCAGTTGAATGAGGCTGGTCTCCGGAGTAGGAATAAAATGCCCTGAACAAGTAGCAAAAGCGTTGAAAAAACAGTTTGTTCAACAGGAACTGCAGATTTTGTCGAATCCAAAGAACACAAGATGAGTACATGACGATCATACCTGTTGGCGAGCATGCTGGAGCTCCTGCTCCAACTGGCTAAGGTTCAGCCTGCTATTCTCAAGTCAACAATTTTCTGAAATACAACTTGGCATACCAAAGGCAACTCTAACAAAATCAGCCAATTAATATTCTTGACAACGAAAAGACAAGTAGATGTGAGGCAAGAGGTAGGCGTTAACTGATAAGCTAAATAGACAGGTATAATAATCACAATAGAAGGTTCAGAAGTACCTTAAGATTAGTATTGACAGCAATCATATGTTTTGCAACAGCCTGTGGCCTGAATGAACGATTTTTATAACTCAAATCACAATAAGTTGAGATGACGTGTCAAAATATTTTCAGGTACTAAACTAACCCAAGAGAAGAAACGATCCACTCTTAAGAGTTCAAGCATTTAACATTGTTTCAGCTGTTGTGAATGTCTTTGATACAACCACCACTGCAAGTTGTTAGACAAGAAATATAAAAATCTTCACCAAATATTCATCAGTAACATACAAAGAATCTATGTTGAAGTGAGGGTAGGTGATTACCCAGAGTGGTTTCTGGATCTAAATCTTTAATGCTCCGTGCAACGTCAACTGGATCAACATTTGCAAGGCTGATAAAAAATTGAACATGAATTACTGGATGAATAGCATAAAGATTGCATGCATGTATATAATATGAAACATAGACACAACACAGTAAACAACACAATGCGTAGAGGCTGGGACCTCTGTTTTGTTCCACTACTAAAAGAGGTCCATAAATAGAAGTTTTCAGAACAAGTAAAAAGAGCTCTTAAAAAGTATAGCAGATATTAATGATGTCTGAATTAAGACTCAATTAAGTTTATTAACATCAACGCAATATTATGTGAAGACCATGGAAGCATAGGTGTCAGCACATCAGGGACACGTGTACAACAGACACAAACAAGATAACCATTCACGTTTCATCAAACTAATGCTCCATACAAGAGATGCTATAAATAATCACATAGATGCATGCTCACTTAAAACATGATAATGAGCTTGCTTCAAAATACACACTTACAATCTCAGTTGTTGGCCTTTCGCACATTCTGCTGCTTCTGGATCTGAAGATCGGCAATATTTTCTAGGCATGTCAATTTAAAAAGCATAGAAATTTCTAGGAAACCTAGAACTGAAGAGCTCAATAGTTTACCAGTCTGGAGCGCAGTATGCACAAATAGAGGGCCAAGAAAGCTACCACCTATTCCAACTGACACAACATTCGTCAATGGTTTTCCAGTTGCTCCAACCTGCAGTCAAGCAGTTCCAGCGGTCAATCTTGAAGTTTCTGCCACGTTTAATTAGTTCAAAAATTGACTGAAAGTTTACCCATGATCCACTTCTGAAAGTGTCCGAAAACTCCTTGATTTTATCTTTAACAGACCAAACCTCATGTACCACATTGACCCCATCACTGTTTATAACTGCATCTCTTGGAGCCCTCAGAGCTACATGAAGCACTGACCTGTTCTCTGTGCTTTTTATCTAACAGAACCGATCAACTTATGTTACAAATTTATTAAAGTAATTTAACTGGACAAATAAAACATGTTAGGGACTTTTTTGGGCTAGATCGGCATCAGAAAAAATGGCAAGATTTATATAATAACTATGTACAAGTTAACTGATAAATAAAATATAAGGAAATAAAAAGTACCCAATGTTCCATGGCTGGCACACTTTACATAGAAATGTATACTGAATCTACGTTTGTGATGGAGCAACTGAAGAGCAGTTTCAGATCATCACATATACCTTTCCACCTTTAAACATCTTCTCAATCTTCTCCTTGAGCTTCGCAACCTATAACAAACCAAACAAATCCCAAATTACCACAGGAAAGTGCAATCCCCACCTCCAAAATGAAAAGGCGACAGAGGCGTCACCTCAGCCAATTAAGCAGCTTGTCGATGGTTTCACCAGTCGCCTGCTGCCTCGAGTAATCCAGAAAGATCCCTTCATACTCACTACAACCAGACACCTTTCAGGTACGCAAACAGAATCCATGCACACGCAGGAAACGAAATTCCACGAACACAGGCGTTAGTCCCTACGCCGTCATTGCCTTGCATCGGTCGGCGTCGGCCATCAGGTCCCGCAGGTGCGTCTTCTAAATCGCGCCGACGTGCGCCTGCATCCGCACGAGTGGAAGCGGAAACAAACAGTGAGCTAATCAGAGCATAGGACTCGCCGCAATGCGATCGGCGACGGGTTCACGCACCTGGAGGGCCTTCCACTGCTCCGTGTCATAGATTAGCGCCGGCGACGCCATGGCTTCGACTACAAGTCTGCGACAACGAAGAGGCGACACACCAAATCAATCCACAGCTGCGGAAACAACGGAATCACCAATAATCATAAACAATTCCTTCCGAAACATGAACCCAACCAACCACTGGATCGAGCTATGGTACCAATAGGCTGTGGATCGAAGCAACCAAACCGAGAGAGAGAGAGAGAGAGAGAGAGAGAGAGAGAAATGAGGGGGACGAGGGGGGATTGGGGAACGGATTAACACCTACCAATAAGGGGCGATCGCCGGTCGAGGTCGGGGAGGCAGATCTGCTGTTCGCTTGGCCGCCGCCGCTCCGACAGACCACAGGCCACCGGCCGAGCGTGGGGACGAGCAGGTCGGCCGCCGCTGCTACAACCCTAGGGACGGGCGCGGGCCCCGCAGGCCTGGCCGGCTGCCGCCTCCTTGTTTCCTGAAGAGATGAGCATCCATCAGGCAATCAAATAATGGAGAGATAACAAAAAAAAAAACTAATTAGCTGCTATCCTATGACTACCACGCTGACCAAGCTGGTTTGATGGTCAGGCCAACAATGATATCTTCCCCAACGGCAGTGTCTGAGGAACTGAATTACTGAAATTAAAATAAAATGCTTGCCTGCAACGTTGCTGCCTGTTTGCCGCTTGCCTGTGCAGAGTGAAGCTCTGTTACACGGTGCCGGCGGCGTCGCTACTGCAGCTGGCTGGGGGCTGCCTGGTTTGGCCTACACGGGCAGCCGGGGCCGGCTGCCGCTGCTGGGTGAACAGCGGTGGCCGTCTGGCCGATGCGGTGGTACGATGGCAGGGTACAATGGCCTTTCTTCCCCTTTCCTATCTGGACGGGTCAAAGGGCAAGGGCGAGGAGAACGATGCCGGTGACCATGTGTGGCACAAATCGCGACAGGGCGAAAGGAAGAGGATGCGGAGCCTGCGAGGCGCGTGCGTCGCGGCCGGGGGAGAGGAAGAGCAGGCGGAGCCTGCGAGCCGGCGGTGTGTGGCGTCGGCGCGTGGAGCGGGCGCGGAGGAAGAGGAAGAAGAGGAAACGGATGTGGCGAGGTGGAAGTTTCTGCGTTGACGGCGCCGCATGATAGGGTCGACGGGGTGGCCTCTGGACGTGGGCGTGGAGGGCATCCGATTGCCAGGGCTGGGATCGGACGGCTGGGATAGGTTTTGGCTGGCTTTTGGGTGGTACTAGCCGATGGCGGGATTTTTTCGCTGAAAATGCGCGGGCAGCTGGGTTTCGACGTTTTGGCCTTTGTTTTGGCGGCTGTGCTTCCAAATGCAAAGTATAATTCAAATAAATCTGTAGATATATATTTAAATTTTTAAAAAAAAATATTTTTTGTGCCAAATAATTAAATTTATTACATTGTCATATAAAAAACATAAAGTTGACTACTAATCACCTTCAATCTTAGAAAATTAATGGGAATTGACTATAATCATGTGCTTATGAAATAAAGCAACATGTTATCTCAATTTAATTTTTTATCCAATTTGTTTAGTATTCTTATACGTATATTTTTTGTTTTGGTGAATAGCATATGAAAATTTCTTTACAAATTGCACAACACTATAGTAAAGTAGTTAGTACAAAATGAGAACCTAATAGCCATTACTTTGCCTAGCCTAATTCACCCAATGCATGCCTCCTACACAAGTCTACTAGCAAGCCTTGAACAACTACTAGAGCACTCAATCAAACAAAGAGGCTAACATATTACTCTAGTCTAGCTAAACTAGTGAAGCAACTAAACCAGCTATTTCTACCAACTACAACCGTAGAAGAAAATAACAAGGATGTAAAAGCACAAGCAAATAACAAAGATAAAAGATCATTAGTATCTCACAACCTTGATCGGAGCCCTGGCACAATCACCATGTAGTGCTCGACAATCTCAATCAACTCCAAGGCGGCTAGATGACAACAATCATGCCAAAGAGTAACAAGAAAAAAACAAAGCCATCACTCTCAACTAGTGTCACAAGATGCAAATCAACTATGCAGCACTCTCAATCTCACCCAATGTGATATTTGATGAGTAATGTGAGTGTAGTGGACACCATGTTGAAATGCCCACCTAGAATGAACTTATAGCTTTCTGATTGAAACAGGTAATTACTCATAAATAAAAATGAGCTTTTCAATTCTTATGTTCCATATTTCTATTCATTCTGTCACATGTAAGAAAGTTGTTCCCATCCCATGAACAACCATATCTCAGGAGTATCTTGCTTGAATAATTTAGGTTATTAGTTCAGCTATTCGTTTTGTATTCGGATTCGTATCGGATGAAGTGAGGATGCCTGGGATCGTGATATCCGAAAGCGAATTCAAAATTAGTTTATTTGTTTTGTATTTAGATTTATACATAGCCTTCAAATCTTGTACATAGAGCATCCGTGGGCGTGACATGGTGCAAGTTATTTCTTTTGTCTGACTTTATGTTTCATGATTAAGTCATTTGATTTGCAGAAATGTTATGAACTATGTTGTGATCGACTATCATTAATTTTGGACCAAAATTTTGTTTGATTTTAAATTTGAATACTAAGATTTTCATTTATAGTTTTATGTATAGTGCTTTATATTGTTATAGTTTAAATAAATTGTTATATAATGTGATGATCTCAAATACATATGCATATAATGTACGAGAAAATAGAGGAAATTGAGAGTAAAGCCCTGTTTTGAGGGCTTCTGCTAGAGTGTACAGAAAATAAGGGCCTCAAATATCAAGTAGGGATCCTATTTTGAGGCTACGAGTTACTCTACGGTACTTTTTCTTGAAATGCTTAGGCGCAAAAATGTCAGTAACTCATCTAACCACGTCAAAATAAAACAATGATAATTTGATGACCAATATCGTAAGTTCATTGATTCAAAAAGATATTGCAAGACCATCGGTGGCCATATTACAAACTCCAAATTCCGGCGTTGTTTTGCGAAATCTCAAATTCCCGCATTCATCTCCGTCACGCACTCACGCTAGTAAACTCCAAATTAGTTGTATATATACGCGGTGGTTTTCGTCCGACTCCTGCCGCCCTTTTCGTCCATCGCCCTTGTCCCCTTCCTCCGTTCCCGCGCAGTCCAGAAAGCAAAAAAAATCTAGCCTCCGCCTCCGGCCCCCGTCCCCAAATCGCCCCCAACCACACCAGAGAGAGAGAGAGAGAGAGAGGAAAGGTCGATAAAGGAAGCGGCGGGACGGCTCGGCGGGACGAAGGAGGCGGCGCCGCGGCGCCGCAACCAGCGCAACGAGGGCGGGGTCGTTGCTCTGTTGGCAGCCCGACGAGGGCAGGACGATGGAGCCGGCGGTGCGGCGGTGCGGCTAGCCCGACGAGGACGGTATGAAGGATGCGGCGGCGAGGTGAAGCCTCTCCGATCCATCTTCTCTGCTATCCGTCTCCGCACCTAGAAAGTCTCCATGGGACCACATCAAGGTGAGAGAATTTCTAGAATCCGTACCTTCATAGGTTCGCACACAAGCTGTTCGACAGAATGCTTAACGTGCTTATTCATCACGGCTGAGGCCTGAGGGGCTGTGACTTTTGGTTAGGTAGTACTAGTAACAAGCCAACCGCTTTTGATTCCATATCCCATAGGCATCATTTAGTTTTCTCCCAAACATTTATGTACTGTAACTTGCAAGAAATTCGTGCTGTAATGTTCTCTTCAATGGTACAGGCTGAAATATTTTCCCATGGATCTTGTCTCTGCAGAATTCATATACGCACTTAAGTGTAAGAATCACTTGAAATTTTCTACATTTCTATCTTGATCTTGTAGTTGTTTCTAAGTCCATGATATTCTATCGTATATCTCAGTGATTTGCAGTCCACCATACCATTTGAAAATTTAGAATGGTGTGGTTGGCATCAATGCTTAGTGTAGCTTTGTATGATCGAAGTGTTGTTAAATATAATTTGTTAAGCTTGTGTTACTTCAACTGTTATCATTGGCTGGTATTAACCCTCTTTGATGTGCCAATTTTTCAAATATTTTTAAGACCTTTGTAACCATTTACTTGTATACTACTCTCAAGGAAATTTATTACTCAGTTAACATTTTGCTTTCAACGCACTTTAAATCTCCTGTTGGGTGCCTTTTTCACCCAGGGATCCTTGCAACTTAAGTTGATGGATGAAATGATTTACCAATCTGCCCAATGTTCCAAACAGCATGCTGATCATTGATGACAACCGTCGTAGCCTGCTCCCGGAAACTGTTGAGGCTTTAATGTGTACACAGGATCGGTTGAGAAGTGCCATTCCAAGTATACAATTCCTCTGAAATTGTACTATACTGCTTTGCGTTTCCTAAATAAATAATATTGTAATGATTTGGGAACTTGCTATTTTTTTTTTTGATTGAAACAGATGGGTCAAGTATGGCAGCAGAGGTCATATTTCCTACTGCAACTTTGTCACCAACTACAAACCAACAAGGTCAATCATTTGACGCTTTCCTTGAAAGATTATAAGGTACAGCAACTGAGTTATTCCTATCAGACTGCTGTTTGACTCAGCTCTGGGTTGATCTCTGAAAACAGTATTTTGTGTGGGATTCTGTTGCTTAGCATAGCAAAGTGCCAGAGTTACCTTACCTTTTTTTTTCCTTGTAGAAGAAGTATTTGGTTCTCCACACAAGGCCCTTTTTATCTGCTTCTTATACTGTCTCATCCAATGCAGATAATTTCAAGGTGTGGAGGGTCGTGCTTTTCTGCTAGATTTTATCTTCAGCTTAAACTGTCCTTGTAAGGGTTGTGTTCAGGTTGAGAGTTAGCAGGTTGAGCTGTCTATTTGAGAACCCTTTAAAATTATCCAAGTTTTGGTGTTATGGATCACTTGAAACATTATATGGAGTTTAAGTTAGAACTGAGTTATTTGTCATTTTTGTATGAAGATGCGTTAATTGTATATGCTCATTGCATCTTGAGCAATGGTTCTGTGATTTCATGAGCGTATCTCCGGCTCCATGGTCATGTGATGGTGTATTCA